AGGATAATTTAGGAAATTGTTTCTTAATGCGAGTCACCTAAAAATATCTAACCCAATTTATTTGGATAGTCTAAATTAATTGATAATTAGTTAGGCCGACAAATTTAATTTAAAAACCTACAAGATATTTTAATGAGAGGATAAACATGACTCTTATTAGATAATGATCAAGCTTTATAAGGATAAGATCAAAAAGCCTACATGTATTGCAACTCCTAACCCTCGAGTACTAGGAAGTAATAACCTAGAGTCCTTTTTGGACTTATTGATGCCACTTCCTTGTCCTTCAAGGACAAGGAAGACGCTCTTTCGATAAATAGAAGGGAGAGATACAAAAATGGAGGACTAAGTGATAGACATACACGACATAAAAGAAAAAAAGAGAAAATAGTTTTCTCCCTCCCAAAGATACTAACTCTCTTCCTCTCGATTAGGGTTGTTGCAAAATATCCTTGAATATATTTCGAAGAGAAAACATTAAACAAGTTAAAAAAGGTGGAGTTAGCCTTCTATAACTTTTGAATGCTTCTTATGTGGGGTGCTTGGACTACGTGGATCATTGATAGAGGCCGGACATTTAGATCGTTATTTTCTACAAATGCTAAATTTATGCTACAAGAGGTAATCCTTTGCTTATACCTTAATTCATGTATGTATAATTAGTTGATTCAACATCTTGATCTTGCCCGAGCTAATAGCACATGGGGTGCATGACGAGCCAAGTGAGCCTCATGCACACCAAGCCTACTCGGTCGAGCCGATTGCACGCTAAGCGTGTTATAGGCCAAACATGTCATGCGCATACCAAGCCTTCGGCTAAGGCCGATTACACACAAGGCGTGTGACATGCTAGGCATGCCTCTCACACACCGACGGGCCGGTCGTGCACTAGGCGTGCACCGGGCCTATGGCCAGCCTAAGACATGCCTTGTATACGTCGAGCGCACACCGGGTATGCACGAGGTCAAGGCTTACCTAGGCCAAGCACGTACACGTACCAAGCGACGAGCAAGCACATAAAAGGCCAAGTGTATGCACCAACGACCGGCCTCTAGGTAACTCGGCCAATGGCCAATGCGAAGCCAAGTGAGCGCAAGCATGCTAAGCCGGAGGCCCGGCACCGAGCCGAGTTCGGTGAGCATGCAAGTCTAATTGGCGTTAAGCTAGTGCCGGGTATTGGCTATGAGTAGCTTGGCTAGTACGGGCACTAGCTAATTAGGCGACCAAAGCCGGTGTTAAGCACTTGATTTCTAGAGAAAAGAGAGTGATTCAAGGATCAACGTTAGAGAGATATAAGAGAATAGAGGATATAGGGGCTATAAGGAGGTCCGATTATAGGTGTTCGGACTCTATTTCGGGATTTAATTAGCAATTGTGACTAGGTAGAAACTAGAATCGGATCTAGGGTTCTAGGTTTGTAAGAGAAAGTAAGGGATTAAGTGTTTCTTTTTGGAGATAGGATTGAAAATGTTAATATTGATTGATCTTAGAAAGATTTATAGAAGTTTGGGTGTGTAAAGGGCGAGAGAGGAAGAGAAAACAAAGGGTGAATCGGAGATTCGAGTTATGATAAAAACGGATTGAAGAAGAAAGAGAAGATCGGACAATTAATGGAATGAGAAATTAAGGAGAAGAGATGGGAGGAAGTTCTAGGTTCGATTGAAGGAGGAAAGAGATGGGAGAGGCAATCGGGTTTAAGAACTTTTTGGGTTTGTGGAACGAGAAAGAAGGAGATGAGAGAAAGAAAAAAAGGATTATTTGATTCGGAGAGATTTAGAAAAAAATAAAAATAATGTTAAAGAAGATTAAGCGAGTCCAAGCTAAAGAGAAAAAAGAAAAAAGGATGGGTTAGGCCAAGCCCAACCCGCTAGAGGTTGGCCAATCGAGTGGGCTAAGGGCCCACTAGCCCCAAAAAGCTCATTGCATTAATTTTGACCCATTTTTTAGATAAATTGACCACGAATTTTTTTATGTATGTACCTTTATTTTCTACTTAATTTAGATTTAATGTTTTAAATTTCCTTGGATTTGTTTAGTTAATATTTAATTTTAGGATTTATTTCTCTAATTAAGTTAGGTATTTAATATATGGATGAATTATAGAGTCTCCTAGTTTTTAAGGATTGATGAGAATTCTCTATCAATAACAAAAAATGCTAAGAAAAAAATATAAAAATGAAATGCTTGAAAAAACAAAGCTAGGAAAAAGATAAAAAGGAATGCTAGGGAAAACATAAAAAAGAAAAAAAACAGAGAGAAAGTGCTAGAAAAACGAGTAAAAGAAAAAAGAAAAGAAAAGCAAAAACATACAAAACACTAGAAAAAATTAAAAAAGTCTCCTATATAATAGGGACTAATATTAAGCCAAATCGATCATGTTAGTGATTAAATTATTCTATAATATACCAGTTATGTCAAGACTTTAACAAGATGCAATGTTAAATCGAACGAGATGCCCAACGAAAGGACCCGACGATTTATTCAACAAGATACAACAAACGAAAATTAAAAAATTAATTTGGTTTAGGAAATAAAACTTGAAATTTTGACTTAAGATTAATTTTGGAAAAAATAAAAAAAATTTAGAGATAAATTTTAGAATTAAGCTAGACATGGTACCTTTTTTAAGAAAAGATGCTTTTGAATGATTGATATCTTTCTAAAAACATAACCAACTCCTTATCTTAGGATCTTTGAACCAATGCCCATTTTAGGTTTCTAATTTCTTAAATACTAAGTGGTGACTTCAAAATTAATGATAACTCACATCCCTAAATGAATCAAATTTCAATAAATAAATAAATATTAATTTTTAGGAGTTTTGAAAAAGTTAGGTAATGATAAAATGACAACTTTATTGGAGAAATCAAAGTTAGGCCATAGGTTTAATCTATTTTAGCTTAACTCTATTTCTTTTGCTATTTATTTTCCAAGTCATTTCTTTAAGTCATTTATTTATTCTTGTATATATTTTAAATCTTTTAACTTTGTGTAATTTATTTTTCTTGCATTCATGTAAATACTTATTTTGTGAATTTGGTGGATATGATTACTTTGATTTGTTACACACACCATGAAAAAAGCCTATAAAAGCTCGAACTCAAATTAAAACCTTATTAGGATTTAGATAGAGAGATTTAGAGGCAAGTATGATGAAGTCTATTGATGCTTGTTTGGACTCTCGTTTGGATTGAAACTTGCCTCATGCATAGAAAATTATGGAATGACCTTTTCCTACCTCTTGGTGTATAAGGTTAAAGGCTAGATTACTTTACCAGTAATTTAAAAAGCCCAAAAGCTTTAAAAGAATTCGGGATTGTGTAAATTTTGCCTAAACCCTAGAAAAGTTAGATCCTATATATTAGGATTCACATGTTAAGATACAAAATATTTCTAAATGATGTCAATTCTAACTCTAGTTTTTTGTAAGTTATCATCAACAAATCATGATAAAATGGAAAAGAAACATTATTGAGAATTTCAAAGCCATATCAAAACTAGCCCAAATTAAGGAAGGAGACTGTCTATCGCTAATTTTTTTTATCAAAAATACCAAAAAAGGTCTAACTCGCCGATAGGATGGCTAATGTGGACCCACTCCTCAACTATTGGGAAATGCTTACTCTTGAAGATAATTTTTACTTTTAGAAAACATACGATGATATTGCTTAACCGCTTAGGATAAAAACCTAAATTTCATGTTTTAAGCCATGATAAGACACTAGAACCCAAAGTATATGTGCTTCGAGTTTTGAAAGTATGGACTTGTCACCCACACTTGAAGAATTTGAGGCCTTGCTAGCATTTTATGAAATAGATATAGTGTACTTCTATGATCCACCCGAGTAAGCTCTCCCATTTTACGTGGCTAATCGAAATTGATTCCGTAATTGTAAAAAAGCAAGAAACCAAGAGGAGTTAGAGTCAAGGAGTTTTTGAAAAATGCTCCAAATAAAATTCATAAAACATTTATAGGATTATGATAATGACATTAGGCTCAAGGTTTTAGCACTAACGATATATGGTTTGGTGTTGTTACCATCGATCGAGGGCATGATCGATTTTGAGGTAATAAATATATTCAAGAGTGTTGTGTCCCTCAAGGTTAATCTCATTGCTACAATCCTAGCAAAAACACTCCCATCATTAAACTTTTGTAGAAGAAAAAGGAATGAATCTCTAAAGTGTTATGTCTAGCTTCTATTTGTGTGAAGTATGAGTCATGTGATGATTGGAAAAGCCACTGAAATTTTTCAAGCACTATGCCACCTATACTTTAAATTAGAAAATTTTGCTAATCACTCCCTAAATGAGCTTGGCAAGACTACCTAGAAAAGAATGTTCATCGGTTTAAAAAGGTCATAATTCTTCTAAAGAGCACAATATAACTTTTTTGATCTTATTTGACCTACTTGTGGTAACTTTCCTTAAGTACCCCTAATTGAAGCCGGATGCTACATTAGCTACTACCTAAAGATATTTCTAAGATAATCAAAATTTAAATAATTTATCCCAAAAGACCATTGGATTGGTTGAGTATTATGAAGACCTCAAAGCTTATAGGAAACTTCTAAAGGAGTCTAAAACTAAGAACAAATAAATCCTCACCCCAACAAAAAGAGTGGATGGGAAGACTTCACTCGGTTACCCAAAATGACAATAATCTAAAGGCAAAAGGTACCAAATTCTACCATTTGCGAGTCCATCTCAATTAATGAATGAAATAATAAAGCATGTTCACCAAGAGATCAACGCCCAAGATGAGCTTTACAATGAAAATTTGAACTCCTAGATGGAGGAATTAAAGAAGAAAAAGAGATAGCTAAAGGAAAACCTCGAGTCTAAAGACCATGCAGGTGTATGCCTTTGAATCAAAAAACAAAGAACTTTGAGCTTGGCTTCAACAAATAGAAGGAGTTCTAAGGCGATTACAAGTAGACCATCAATCACCGAATATGAAATATGATAGTACAATCTATCTTTCATCCTTTATAATTGAGGAACCGACCAACCTTAATAATGAGAAGACAAGACTTAAAGTAGAGATTGATAAGCTCATAATTGATGAGAAGATGAGACTTAAAGTGAAGATTAATGAGCTCATGACTAAAAGGGTGCTCACAATTGATGAGAAGATGAGACTTAAAGTAGAGATTGATGAGAAGATAAGACTTAAAGTGAAGATTAATGAACTCATGATCGAAAGGGTGATTCTAGAGGAATTCAAAGAAATGACTTGACAATAAATTAAAAACCACACCGACATAATATGTCACCTATATATTTGTATGAAAGAATTAAAAAGGAAGGATCATGTTAACCTAGAAAGATTGGCTTGGTCATAAAAAGAGTATGATCTAACCACCCAAGCTATGATGAAAGGAAAATACATTTTGAAGAGAGGATTGACTGAGTAGGGGTCTAGAACCATAGAGTATCACATACGAGGCTCGAATCCTAAAAATTATGCCATGCAAATGAGGCTCACCATTGAGCACTTAGTCGATAACATACATCCTACTAGTGAGAAAATCGGCTTTTTTATGAGAGGCTTAAAAAGCTTATAGTAAGAGCTATTTCTTATGAGGATTTAAGGCTATGGTAGAATATAGAGTAGGAATCTCTATTAAATAGAGGTTTTCATGATTTTAGTTTCTTCTATTTTTTAAATGACTCTAAGTCACATTTAAAATGTGTTAGAAGTTTGGATTTCGGTTTCTCTAGTGCTATAATAACTATGCTTTTTTGTTTTCAATCCATGTAATAGGAAACAAGTTATGCTTCAGTTTCCATCAATGAAAAATGGCTCAAAGTCACATTCCAAATGTGTTAAAAGTCCAAATTTCAAATTTCTTTAATATTGTCTATCGTGGCTCCAATCTCTTTAGTATATCATAAAATTTACCCATACTCCAAGTTATGATCCAAATGAGGTCTATATATCTCCCAAATTCCTAATTATCTATGGGATTATACCTCTCGTGAGTACTAAATCGAATCTAACTTGTCTTTAATACAACCTCTATCATGATTTAGTATATAATTAGTAAAGAAACTTATCCAACCCAACTCACATCGGTATATATATATATATATATATATATATATATATATATATATATATATATATATATATTCATTGTATATATTTCTTTGAGTTATTTTTTAAGAATGAAAATATAAGCCATTCTACCAAACCTCAACTCCCTTTTTACATCCACCACACTCGACTTAAACGTTGATATATGAAAAATGAAGAAAGATCCCGGTTCGAGTAGATTCACTAACAAGAACTTGAATCCATAAAAGGAGATATAGGTCACTTGACCAGCTTGTTTGAAAAGGTTCTAAATGGAGAAAAAGATCTAAACTAAGCACCTACTTAAAATGAGATACCATATGCACTCCCAATACCTAACTCCTAGTATGGGCCATCCACTGCACCACCAAATAACCCGGGGGCAACAACATTCCACATCGAGGATTTTTATCTTGTTAAACACTTTGTTTATCTAATGGATCTAAGAGTTTCGCAGATGTCAAATGTACCTATTATAGACCTTACCGGTAAAGAAACCACCAAGTATAAGTTAGCAAAAGGTTTAAACATGGATAAGCTATTGGCCATTGAAAAACACCCGAGGGCTATCAAAAGAGATATGTATGAACCTATAAGAGTAATAGAGATGTGCCCGATGCATAGTTTAGTAATTTTAAAAAAATTCAAGGTATTAGAGTTCACTAAATACATCAAAACCTAGTGTCTTATAACTCACCTAAAGGTTTACTATAGTAAGATGGCTGAGATAGTATATGATGAAAAACTATTGATAAACTTGTTTTATGAGAATTTGGGAGAATCGAGACTAAGCTAGTATATGAGGCTCGAGGAAGCTAAGATTAAAAATGAAAAGACTTAGTGGATGCTTTTATCAAGCAATATATGTTTAACATAGAAGTAGCCCCAAACCATTCTAATCTATAAGGAATTGAGAAGGGACTAAAGGAGATGATTAAAAAATACGCATAAAGTTAGCATAAAGTAACAACCTAAATTCATCCACCTCTTCCCGACTCAAAACTAACCTCAATATTCTCTAACACCTTTAAGGCACCTTATTTTGAATATTTCATTTGTAATTCCTTTTTGAATTTCACTTACATTGTGATTATTGCTCCATGGGTTGGGCTAGCATTCAAAGTCGAAAAGATCTACAAAGGAACAAAGAGTAAAGCTCGGTATAGACATCAAAAGAGTATAAGAAAAAGTCCATCAAGTGGAAACTTACCAATCAAGAAGTCGTTAGAACAACTAAATGAGGTATAACAACTAGAGCCATTACCCCATACAACCACTAACCTATTCCTAACCATTCCATCAAACAACTTTAATAGCCTCATCTTTTTTACCACCCAAACACAACCCCACATTTCAAATAAGACTTATCAACCATATCAACCAAATCCATCATGTCAATACCACCCAACGACCCTAACCTACCAAAAAAGTTAGTTCATTTATTCAGCTATACCACTATATGTTCTTTCAAATTTTAACCATTAAACCTACATAACCAATTTAACTACGATAACCTATACACTCGAGAAGACTTATCACCTTTCACATACACTTTAAGGGAGCTATTCTAGCATTTGGTCGGTATTGGTTAGAGTATTAAGATATGACGATTGCTCAAGATGGGTAAATTCCTCCTAGAGTGCAGCCATGGTTAAAGGATGAGTAGCCATAGAGGGTAATTGTGGTGTTACCCTAATGTTTGATGTGGAAAAGGTAAGGAATTTTTTATTAACCAAGTGGTATATGAGAGCTAGCCCTTTCGGATCCCTCTTCATTTAATGTTTTTTCTTGTAGTAGTTGCTTTAGCAAACCAGTTAGTCGAAACACATCTCTTTTGAGAGCTTTAACTTTATTGGTATATTTTTTCTCTAACGATTTCTTTCTTCATTCTTCATCCTTCTCATTCGTCCGGTGTTATAAATCTTTGGTAGAGGTTGAGCTTTTACAGTGTAACTTATATTTCTCTACGGATGAATGTGAAAAATATAAGACTTAGGAAGGTTCAATGCTTTCATATGAAAACTTGTGGTTGGACATGATAATGAAGTATGCTTTGACTAAAATGAGCACAATGGCTATGAATCCAAATTTAAAGCCAACAATGGGCCAAACATCAAAATGGTGCTTACTATTGATGTTATTTTTATTCCAAACTATGCCAATATGGGCATGGTATCATGATCAAAGAGACCATTATATATAACCAATCACTATTAATGGTAGTTTTGATAATCATGGTGCTTCTAAAGTAGGACAATGTTATGAATATTCTACACACAAAAAACAAACAATGTATGTTCCTTTGTCTTGAGAATAGCTTAGGGATAGGTTCTAGATTTATCTAGACATGATTGGATAAGGTTTGCGAACCTAATTTTTTTAAAGGTTCCCATTATAAGCTCAAGTTTAACCATAATAAGAGATACTTGAAGCTATATTCTTATGCATAAGGGTTATTAGGTTACTCGTTGTATTCTCATACATCGGGATAAATTTCTCATAAGAATGGAGGAGTGAGTTACGCAAGCTCTAGGATCGTAATCTTTCGAATGCCAACTTCCTTATTCTAATATTAGGTTAAGGGACCGAGTATATGCGGACTTAAAAATCATTCTTGTATATGTGCTAGTGTGTGTAAAGGAACAACACTTCATATACAAGCTCAAATATCAAAGTGAAAGGCATTAAAAAAGCAATAGTAAATCGGGATAAAAAGCATCAAACAAAATAATTCTATAAGATAAGAAAAAAATAATTCCTTAGCTTCTAATTCCCCGATAGAGTCGCCATTCTATCACACGGTGACCTCTCAACAATCACAAAAACTATAAAATATATATGTGTGGAGTCACCACTTAATTTTCAAAAAGATGAAAATTAAGAAAAACCTAGTACTAGTCTTAAGAGTTCTAAGTAAGGGGATTGATTACACAACTAAAAAAGACTATAGTCACCTTAGTATGCCTTCACAATGAAGTTATCTTGTACTTCTAGCTTAGTAAAATTCATTTATGTAAATTATCATTTTATCTTGATTTATGTGTTCAATTATTTGAGGTATTTTCTTACCAATCGTAAGAGAGGTGATTTAGAGACCGAAAGAAAACTTAGTCTCTCCCATAAAATATCATTGGATTATTGAAGCCCATTTAGGAAGGTAAAACTAAAGACTTGAAGCCCATTACCAATTAAATCCTAATCTCATAAAGACGTAAAAATAAAATAAAATGAAAATGAGCCATAGGCCATAGGCCTAAATTCATCTGCCAAAAAAAAAAAAATTACAAGTTCGTAATGACCTAGAAAATGGACATGGGCCTCAAGCCCATACCACCTAGTCATGCCACTTGAAAATATAAAATTGGGTCTCAAAACCCTAATTCAAAGCTAAATCTATGAGAAGAAGAAATTAATTGGTCTTAGGTCATAAACCTATTCTATAAAAATAAATTAAAATCTAACAAAAAAAATAAAACAAAATAAAATAAAAGGTAAGAAAAAGGCCTATCATGGGAACAAAGTCGATTTAAAGTCCTAAATCTACTCCATTTAGACCGACATCACATAAAATAAACACACATAGAACAAAGACATATTAACATGTTAAAGCCATAAATCACGTTAGACAACACCATGAAAAATAAAATAACCAATAGGGTTCCACAAGATCTTTAACCTATTAATTCAGATTTGGCTTATTTTAATTTTATAACAAAAATTCTAGCATATTTCCAACTTCAAGCATCGATTGATAGTTCCTTAGGAAAGTTTTATATGGAAAATAAAAATAATATGCAATATATCAACCTTTAACCCCTTATTTTTTGAAATAATAATAATAATAACTATATATTAAAAAAAAACAGAAACCCTAAAAAAAATACTAAATATTCTCTATCCTAATAAAATCACACATACACATAAAAAAAAATTAAATTAGAATCCTTTTAAATATGTCAAATAACTTCAATAACTCTCAATTCAAATCTTTTCAATTAAGCCCAAATTAAATAATTGTAATTCAATTAATCATCTCAATCGTATGTTAATTACATAATTGATACTATAGAATATAAATCAATAATATAATCATGCAATCCATAAAAATTCGAATAAAAATTCAACAAAAAACATTGAAGCATTGGCATATAAGTACCAAAT